GAGACAAGTCACCCTCCGGGGGGTATAGCCAGAGCTGCAATCCCTTCTCTTCTATTCTCCTCTTGGGATTTCGGGCACACATACAGACATGCCCGGTGTGATTTTCAAGCTGCCAGGTCTGGGCATTTGGGACTCCAGCACCTTAACCTCCATGCCAACTGCTGGTCCTGCAGTTGGTTATTTTTAAATATAATTGGAGAGTTCCCAAATCTATAAATCTAGGTGATTATGAAAATCAGATGATACTTTCACTGAATGAGCTGATTTTGGATTACATTATCTTTTTTTTTTTTTCTTTTTCTTTCCATAGTAAGTGCCATTCCGTCTATATTGCCTTTTCTTTACTGGGCACTTTGAAAAGTTTTCTTGTGTTAATTAACATACTGGGAGGTGAAGAAAGGGAAGAATGCATGTAATTTTAGATAAGGTATATGAGTTTTTTCACATTTACTTTTGAATCTTTTGTGAGATTAAACACTATGTTATCGAGAACCTAAACACTTGTCTTCAGAAATGATGACTTAAAATGTTCTCTTCACTGTAATGCACATTCTAGCCTATTACATTATGAAACAATAAGAAGCCTCAGACACTAGTTAAGAATATGTTGGCAAGATAATCTATCTTAATATATTTAAATATGAAGTCACTGACAATTTGGAGATACGAACCGTCTTTACCGGGGGAAGGGCCATTTTTTTTCTGTATGTTTTTTTTTCCCCTGGTATTTTAAAGGTAGACGAGTCTAGCATACACGAGCAGAAGGGGAAGAGATCCAGGGGCAGCTACTCTCAGTCTCTCCCAACTGTCTGTCCTCTTCCTCCTCCCTGCCACCTGCTGAGCATCTAGGATGTGCAACTCAATGTACTGCATGCTTTTCTAAAATCGTATTTCATGAGGGAGGTGGCATTACCCTCTTTTCTCAACAAGGAAATAGGTATAGAGAGGTTCTGTTGCCCATCCAATAAGCCAGAAATCAAACTCGTGTAGGTCATAGCCCAAAGCCTGTCTCTTAACCACCGTAAAATACTGCACTGGTTTCTGCTTAGAATTACCCCGTGACTAACTAGCACAGGAATTACTGAAGTGCCTGGAGACTTCCGTTTCAGATGAATAAGGCAAGAAGCATCCGTGAGAAAGGAGCATGTGTCATGGCTTTTCCTTTTTGCTCTCTGCCTCTTTCCTTAGACTGTAATAACCCTGCCTTTGCTCAACAAGCACCGTGTCCTCCCAGGATGTTCAGCACCATCCACATGAGAATCTGGGTCAGGACTAGAAGACTGTGCTTAGTGCTATTATGTAAGACTAAAGCTTTGATTTATTGAGAAGGTCAACAGCCGGGCCTCCCACTTCCTTAAACACTCTCTGTACTTAGTTTGAAAAGGTTCTCAGGAGCATTCAAGGACTTCAAACTCACCATATGAATATTTCATTCCACAGAATGCCTTGGAGTTTCCTAACACCTGTTCTTTACATTCACATTTACCTACACAGAGTAAATGGAACATGGGGTTAGTTATTTGGAAAGAGAGAAAGAGAGGAAAGAGATCAGCAAGTAAAACCCAGGCAACATTTCTTTAAGCCTTGAGGGGTTCCCACAATGTGATCCCCAAATACTGAAAGTCCAGGAAAGTCATTCAACAATAGTCTCTTTCTTAATTAAATTATTTATCATCCAATAAAGTATTGACCTAGGAGAAATGTACAAAGTAGAAACGGTGATACATTAGGGGGCTTCAAAAAGTTCATGGAGAATGAAATGAAAATGCAAATTTTATTTTGGTGCAAAAAAAGTCTCTCTTTTTTTTTTTTTTTTTAAAGAGAGATTTTTGCTATAAGGCGTATGCACTCACCAGAGAGACAGAAACAGAGAGACGAAAAGCGAGAAATTACCCCCCAGGGGATATGGCCACACTGCAATCCCTTCTCCTCCATCCTCTTGGGATCTTGGGCATGCTGAATTTTAAGCTAGCCGGTCCAGACTTGAACTGCGGACCCACTGCATGGGAGTCCAGCAATGTAACCATTACACCATCTGCTGGTCCCAGGTGCAAAAAAACTTTTGAAGTTCATGGCATTTTTCATAATATGCACTCATTCAGAAATTATAGTAACCTGAGTGAATAGCCCCTGGCCTTTGATAATCCCACCAACGCAGGAGAGTATGTGGTTTCGAAAGTCATGGAAGGCCAACGGGTGGGGCAATAGTGCTGGACGATACTGGACCCTCATGGGCAGGTCTTTGGGTCATGACCCAGGTTCTCCCTGTGTATCCCTAGCACCCATGTGCCCATGATCCAGGCTGGTTGAGGCTGGCAGTGGATAATGACATGAAGACTGTGGGGAGTGCCCATCTCTCTCCCTCATATGAAATAAATGCACTTAATAAAACAAAAGACACACACACACAAAAACCCTCAAGGGAACTCCAAAGGCATAAACTATTCCTCAACATGAAGCTCTTCTTTTTAGTCCCTCAACTTATAATAAGAACACTGAGGGGCTGATAGGTAGCAGAGTTGTTAAGGTGCTGGACTCCCACATGGCTAACTGTAGTTTGAGTGCCAGATCTGGCAGCTTGCTTTCTCACTTTCTCTCTCTCATTTAAAAAAAAAAAAAGTAATAATATTCTTTTATTATTCCTTTCCCTCATGCTTGGAGCTCAGACATTAAAACCTGTTGGTCAGACATCAGCCCAGTTTGTATCTTTAAAAAAAGAAATTTAGGGGGACTAGCAGGTGGTGTGGTGATTAAGGCACTGGACACTCCCACATGGCCGACCACAGTTTGAGTCCCAGACTTGGTGGCTTACTTTCTCTTTATCTTTCTCTGGTAAAATCAAAATAAATCATTGAATTAAAAAAAATATTTAGAATGGAAGAAAAACCTGTTTTGATACACTAGGTAATTAGACCATTTTTAAAAAAATGAGCATTGTTGAGAGTTCTGTGGTACTAGTTAAACTCAGTTTTGTTCTTCAGGAAGTGAAATTTTACATCTGGTGTTCTCTGTCTCACAAGAGTGGTGGTAGAAATCGAGGATATTTTGTTGGTGTAGAGAAATGTGCCCCTGGTTCAAAGCTGTTTCTGTGGAAACTACGGTATTTACGTAGGTAGGCAGACCACTCATTTTAAGGATGAGCTTTTTTTAAGTGCTTAAGAAACTGGTTATCACTCTTGGTTGAAAAGGGTACCCCGGAGCATGATTCAGTATCCAGTAGGAATATTGCTGTTTAGGAGGGAAATGAATGAAGCCTTCCTTGGTCTGGTGCTTATCCGGATGAATTTCAGACTCCCTGGGGACATCACAGACCTAGCAGCTGTTGTGGACATGAGAGTCTGGAGTCCTCGTGGTGCCAACACTTATGTCCTTGACTGGTAGGCTGCCAGCTTCCACATGCGCGGTTGGCTTAGTGAATGTTTTATGGTCCTGAAAACTGGATCATTACGGATTTGGTTTACCGTACAGTGTTGGAGATTTATAAAAACTCGTTGTGTCAGAAAAATAGAAGAAAATTTGTAAAAAGTGACTATTAAAGTTAAAATCAAAACACAGGCTATGGGGGCCTGCAGGTGCCATAGTGGTTAGGGGCACTGGACTCCCACATGGTCAACCACAGTTCGAGTCCTGGACTTGGTGCCTTGCTTTCTCAATCCCCCCAACTCTCTGTCCCTCTCTGGTAAAATTAAATTAAAATAAATAAATAAGTAAAGTTAAATGAAATAATTCTTATAAAAGAAAAAAAACTCAGACTATGTTATATTACAGTGAAAAAATAATGGGAAATATTTGTTTTCTTTTTCCAATGCTGAAAAGATAAATATGACGACTTTGTATTCCCTTATCTTTACTTTATTTCCTGTTGTGAATGAAAATGAAACCATTAGGAAAATTATCACAATAACCATGATGCAGAGTTGGAAATACTGATGTTTCTCAATTTGGGTTCTTGATTCTTTAAAGGTCCCTGAATTCTCTAGAAGGTTTTAAAATTGTGGTTTTGTTCTGATCTGAAATATGGCTTGATGAATGGATAGTATGTAAGTGGTGGGTATGCAGGTATGCCATCCTAAGCTTTTTTGTATATCTAAACATTTTCAGAATGAAATTCTGAGAAAAGTCATAACAGTGACTCTTAATAAACACAACTTTGTAAATGCACACTTTAGCGTTTCCTCAGCTCCAAACACACAATGATATTAGATAAAACAGAAAATGAAAAGACATAGTTCACATCGAATATTAGATAAAGGGTCCAGCAGATTGGTGGGGTGGTCGAGGTGTTGGACCTCACAGTTTAAGTCCTGGACTTGGCGGCTTGCTTTCTTGCTTTTTCTTTCTCTCCCTCTGTGTTCCTCTCCGGTCAAATTAAAATACATGAATAAGCCAAAATAAATAAATAAATAAATGATTCTTTAAAAAAAAAAAAAGATAAATGATCACTGTGTATTAAAACTGAATGGATATGCAGAGAGGAAGGAGCCTGAAATTCCAGGTCTTTTGGGCCTGGTATCAGAATCAGGCAGCAGTGGCCAGGAGTTCAGACCTTAAGAAGTTCAGGGGACTAAAAAGGGACCAAGTAGGGGCCAGCAGGTGGGGTGGTGGTTAAGCCATTGGGCTCCCACATGGCCAACAGTGGTTCAAATCCCAAAATTTCTAACTTAGGAACATAAGGAAATCCTAGATATGGTAGCTTGCTCTCTCTCTCTCCTTCTCTCTTTCTGGTCAAATGGAATAATAATAATAAATAAATAAAATTAAATAAATAATTCTTTAAAAAAAAAAAAAGAAAAGGACAAAGGGACCACGATCAGATTCACTTTTTAAAGACAGAGATTGAGTAAGGCTCTCCTTGCTAGTAAAAGGGCATTGGAAAAAAGAAAAGAATCCCAAACTATCGTTCATGACCTGGACTGGTAGTTTGTAGCTAACTGTGCCTAGGCACATGGGCAGGGCTGGTGCCTGGGCACGAGAGCTGTGCTCTCCTGGACTCATGCTCAGAAGGTCCTTGTGCTTCCTTCAGGGCTCCGTGTGGCCACCTTGAACAAGGAGCTCTCCGTTTTATTTAGCACCACTTACTACAAATTAAGTAACCAGTAAGTGGCCAAGAAAGGAATCTGAGTTGTTCTTTTTCAAAGAATAAATGTAATGCAATTAATTTAGATTAGACATCATCAGTAAAAAGATGGCTTGAAATCCCTGAGTTTGCACAAGTAAGCATGTATCATCCTAGGTGACTCACTGGGTTAAAAAAGGGATTCTTAATGGAAATTAATTAAAAATAAATGGAATTTAAGTGATAATGAAAATACTGCATAGAAAAGCCAACAGAATACGGCTAAACAGATTTCACACAGAAATTTATAACCTTAAAAGTACCTGACAAAAATAAGAAAGACTAAAAATAATTAATCCTTGGACTCACAAAGCTAGAAAAAGAATAAAATTTCTAACTTAGAAATATAAGGAAATATGGGCCAGCAGGTAGTGTATGGTGGTTGTGGTGCTGGACTCTCACATGGCCAACCATAGTTTAAGTCCCGGGCATGGCGACTTGCTTTCTCACTTCTCTTTCTCTTTCTGGTGAGCACACGTGCCCTATAGCAAATTAAAAAGAAAAAAAAAAAGAATAAATAATTTTTAAAAATATATAAGA